ATAAATCTGAGCCGCAGAACAACTATACTTAATCTACAAAGCATACAATATTAATGTTAAATTTCCTACTTTACATAATAGATACTTTATGTTTGGACATCTGTTAGAAGCATTAGAAACTAGCAAAGAAATCATATGATGTATGACACTAAAACGAAAAAGTAAATGCAAGGCTGAGAAAGATTTTGAATGAGTCAAATACAGGTGAAATTCGGGTAAAATAGGCTTGGCCCTTCTTCACTCAACATGTTGAGATCTTTTTTAACAAACTGAAAAACCGCTAGGTTATTTTGTACGAACTACATGGCAATTAAAAAGCTTTTCCATACATGTATTTGCATCTGAACAAAGAGTAAATAAACAAAGCTTGGGACTAGTATGGCTAGACTTAGCCATAAAAGTATTGTCTTTAATAACACTGTTGCGCATGCTCGGTGGGGACTCGACGAAGTTTTTGATTAATTTACGTTTCGTTTTCCACAACTTGATGCCTTCTGTCTCAACCGGTGGATCAAAAAGGCAAAAGCAAAATGGCGGAGGCGGTGAGCGTGAACGTTGAACTTGAGAACCGTGCCTCCCAGCCTTTACACTTTCCGCCATCAAAGAGAGCTGGAAAAAGTATATATATGTCTAAAATAACTGATCTAAAACTTGACAAGTAGGAAAGGAAAGGCGCAGAGCTCTGTAACCAATGGACAAAATACGTTAATAATGGTAATAATGTTATGTACCGTACATTTGCTTATATTATAATGATTGCTTAAAGAGCGAGTTGAAGTTTAAGTTAAAGTAAACCACATTCCTACAAATTGTATTTCAATTACACTTCGACAAACAATTACACGAAGGAAGCTACAGATTGGCCCGCCCCCTTCTCTTTCTTATGGATGGCCCTTGTCGTCGTTTTCATAACGAGCAATTTGATATCTTATTAGTTTACTACGTACATTTCAACTCTCAAAGAAGGATAGCCATTAGCTGTTACGCGGTGCACAAATCTGGCTTTGACAGCAGTAGTCCGCGAATGTGGCACAACATCCTGGTTGTTTGTGTTTCATGGGAACACCTACGAATAAAGAAGATAAAGGAAACATTTCAAGTTATACCTTTTCCGAGTACGAGGAAAAATCCTCGTAAAGTACTATGCAAAGCGCGTAAAATTGCGTGTTAATGTGGTTCGGTGCGTGTTTTTTTAGCTATTAATAATAGGACCGCGTGGAGAACAATTGTTATACCAAATCGTACCTTTTAGGTACGTTTTGGTGGCCTATCAAGCCAGTCTGGATATCGAGCCATGGATCATATTGTGGTGAGACGTATTCGAGCAAAAATAACTCAAAAACGTACGATCAGTTATTTACCGTTCCCAAATTCGGCCAAGTGACTATGGAGGCGCGGTGGCCTCATGGACTGCTCGATCCGGAGACGAGCGTGCTACCCGGGTTCGAAC